AACTTGAAAAAAAAAAAAAAAAATACATAAACTTATATACAAATATTTACATCGTGTCGTTTGACGTCGAAAAAAAAAAAATATATATGTATACATATATAATCATACATGCACGTAAAAAGCCCGCTCCCGGATGGTAATGAGACTGTGTCTGTTGCTGATGACTATAATATGTGGACGACACAAAGAAACAAAAGTAAAACGGAGCGGGACTCAGTTCGATGACCACGACGACGACGACGGCAGCGATGAAAATCACAAGTAGCAAGTCTTATAGAATATAAGCGCGACAGTGTCCTTGCCGTAGACCCTGTACTCGCGCTCGTAGTGCACCTTGCCCGGCTCGAGCCTCTCGACGATCCGACCGTCCGCCGCTGCCAGCGCATCCAGGAATAGCCGGTCCTGCGTCTCCTCCAGCCGCGACGACGAAGACGACAACGACAGCGAAGGCCGCAGCGGGACCGGAGGCGCAGGACGGAGTGCCGGCTCCTCCAGCAGCAGACTGCTCAGGTCCTCGACCCGGTCGAAGGGCCTAGGATCCCTCTCGAGGATCGCCTCGATCTCCAGGTACTTGAGGTCCTGCAAGCTGTTGGGGTAGCAACTGAGCCGCTGGAGGTCCCGCGGCAAAAAGTGGCGCTCGAGCCCATAAACGGGAGCCGCCCGGGGACCACGCTTCGGCAGGGTAGCGTACGGGCGCTCGCTCGACCACGAGCTGTAGCAGGAGGGCTCCCGAAACACCGTTGGCTGGTGGTGCCTCGCCAGCAGAGACGATGACGACGCCGACACTTGGTCGAAGGGGGAATGCAGCCGGTCGAGTTGGAGCTCCTCGAGACTGCGGATGGCCTCGCGACCATACGAGGAACAGCAACTGCTGGAGGCACACCGGCGCGGGTCGATCAGCTCCTCGTGCCCGTAGCCGTAGTCGTACCGTTGCTCCAGCTGGTGCTGTTGTCCCACGGTGGTTGGTGGTTGCACGGCGTCAGCCCCGTACGCCCCGCGTCTCAGGCCTTGGGGCACGCGGCTGTGCCAGCTGGTGATTTTACTGCGGACTCCGCGACCGATACGGCCCGTTTTTTCGGCAAAGACGTTGCAGTAACTGGCCAGCCGGTGGTGCTCGCCACAGCGCCGGAAGAGCGAGGCGCAGTCGAGGGTGGTGGGCCTCGAGCGGCGAGGGTACGGGTAGGTGGGCGCCCCGTTGGCCATGACGGAGAAGCCCGCCACTGGTATGGGTTGCTGGTGGTACTGGTAACACATGCCAGTGGCGGGCGGTAAGTAAGCGTCGCGCGGGTCTACCTGGTTCGGGTAGGCCCCACCCGGTAGCGGCTTGTTTGTCTTTTCGAGGTTCGACAGCCCTCCTGTGAGGGAGGCCTTATACTACCGGGATTGGGCGTAGTCCGGGTTCATCTCGTCCAGCTGTTTGCCCTTGGTCTCTGGCACGCAGCACACGACGAAGCCCAGACCGAACACCGACACCACGGCGTACAACCAAAATGTCCCGTGCAGGCCCATCGTCTGCGAAACAGTACACATTTTAATTTATTTCACTATTACTTTACACGTCATCCACATTATCTTTCATCTCCAAAGCGAGTGCGGTAATCGTTGCCGCTTGCTCGTTAATCATGCCGAGTATTGCGTGAAATACAACCACTTTTTTTTCTTCTATTTTTTTTCACACCGCGGAAAATAAAAGTGAATCAGCGCGAAAGAATCGTAAACGATAAAACGTGGCCTCGATGAGAATAACGTAGCGATCGGGTGTTGATGAATTTAATTGTTTCGCAAAATAAATCGAAATTCCCGCAAAGTTGACGCAATGCTCCTATACCTTGCGTAATACGTGTTCATTAGCTGCACATGTATCGCTTGATAATTACAGTTTACCACGTGTACGTACAAAAACGGCATCTGCGTGGCGTAAATCGTCGACAAGTGTAACACGAATGCAGCTACATGTCCGACATCAAACCGAGCCTTGCGAGCGCAAGCCGCACCGTAGCGTTGAACCGATCATTAAGTCGTCGTGCGGTTCGATATTAATCGTCGGCCGCAGCATCGGTCACGGGAGAAAAGTCACTCAGTTAACGGCACACCCACGCACACTAGTGTTCTCTCGCTGTCGGTATTTTTCCCTGCAATTATAAGCTAATGCGAAAAGGCAAATCGCGAGGACTGTACATATTACGAATACGGTGTGTCTCGCCGCTTTGAAGTTGAAGAAGCAATGCTGCACTTCCTATAGCTGCACCTCCGCGTTTTCTCCTTTCTCGTACAGCTGATCTTCTTCGTCGCGCGGCTGCTGCTTAGATATGCAGGCCCGTGTAATTTGAAAAGAACGCGGGGGAGCGGCGCGCGATTAAGTCAATTATTTCCGGGGATGACATATGTAACGCGCCAGATTTTTTTTTCCATGCTAAACAATGGAAGAATGGCACACGGTGCGCCTTATAAAATGAAAAAAAAAAAAAAAGCNTAAATTAGAATATTTTTTCGTTTTAGATTATAATTTCAAAAATATCACTTTAGTTCACTAAACTTTGAATCTAAAAAATCTAAATTAAAATTGGTATAAAATATGTTAACGTCGATACCATATTTTACTCTCAATTAGTTTTTACATACACACATTTCACAAAATTGGAATTAATTTCTTCAATTTGCAATCGCATTGCGATACTGGATATCGTTGTCATCAAGTGCTTTCTTTCACTGTAAGACATGAAAATAAATCTTTCCATATTTCGTGTCTTTCTACGTGTAAATAACAAGATATGACTGTTACCTTGTTTACGAAAGAAAACTTGGAAATGCTGATTATCTGCTATTGTTGCGGGATATGGTTTTACCGATATGAATAAGATTTATAAAACGTCTTGGATTAGACATTTTCATGTACTCTTTGAATTATTTTCCGCTCGTATTTTTTAACTCCTACAAACTATATAAAAGTACAAAATTCAAATACATTTCTCTAGTACATCGCTAAGTACGTTGAGCTTATATTACTCCAGAGCTTACGATTGAAGATGAACTTTATCAACTTTTATTCCATTAGACATATCATGCATCTATGTGCAAAACAACTGAAAGTACATTTTTGTAACTCTCGTAATTGTTATAAATTTTTAATGGCTAACTCCACTTTCAGCCCACATACACCGTCACATAAAATTGTATTAACACCACTAGAGCAAGCGAAGAAGTCTCCGATTGCGCTTTATCGATGCAATATTATTCACTTGAAATATAAAGCGTATCTACTCCCTGTATTCCAGCGCAACCAACATTTTGCCGTGAGCGTCAGTGAGTTGGTAATGCCAATAAGATTTGAAATAAAATATATTAAAATTTAAAATAATTACGATGGTTACAAAAATGTACAATCAGTTATTTTGCACATAGTTGCATGATACGCCTAAGGGAGTAAAAGTTTATAAAGTCTCTGATCGGTTGTATGATAGAGAAAAATAAAGCTGTATTGACCATAAACCCTAGCTATGTTAGCTTGAATCACATAGTAAGGTGAGGTTTGGTCATTTCAACTCGATAGACAAAAGCCATTATGGCTTTGCTACAGACAAGCGATAATGACGAAGCTTTGTTAATTAGTATTAACTGAGTTTTTGAATGAAATTAATAAAATTTATAAAATGTATGTCATTGTTAGCATTATGGATGTGTGGGTATGTGATCAGGCAATAAAATGTACAACACTATCTTTCTTATTATAAAACACGAACACGTTCATTCTCACTATCTTAAGTGTATGCTATCTTGAGTCTTTACAATCAAGGATACAATCGTAAGCTGAACTGAAGTAAAGCAAGATGAAATCAAATAAGGAAATACGAAAATCAGGGAGTGCGTATCGACAGACTGACCGCGCGAGAAGGAATAAACTATAGGTATTAGATGCTGAAGTGCAGCGTCACGGCGTCTCGTCTTTTTGATATTGCGCATGCGTTAGAATTCAGTTACAAGCGCCAAATATACATCTAACACAAAATGAAATAATTTTTTTATAGCGCTGTTACTCAAGTACAGCTGAAGGTACAGTTGATACTGTGATTTTGTCACGACTTTCGATAGTTGGTACTGCTACAAAATTTTCACTCGGCAGTGATAAAGCTTTGTATCATCTGTCTTTCTTACACCGTGGCCTCACCCAAGATCCAATTAACGCAAGAGAAGATAACCGAATCCATCGAAGCGCCTATAGTAACCAAACTCGTAAACTGAATCCTCCCTTCCAGCAGTTGTATCATCAGAAGCTAATATTATCTAATTGAAGTGTTAAATATCACTAAAATTAGTTGTAGACGTCAGTGTACATACATATATTTCTTAAGAACAAGTATTTTTATGCATATTACCGAAAGGATACAATATACATACATGGAGTAACTAAAAATCACAACTGTATGGCTGTATATTTACTATTAGTAGTGTATGTAACTTTACCAACCGAAGCTTTTCAGCTAACGTTAACAAAGAAATATATTTGAGGGGGTTGTCACGGTACATTACGCATTAAAAGTTCGATGTGTGAAAATCTGATGGGACTGCACACCCCACTCAACCCGTAACAATGAATTTTTATCAGTTACTGCACTCGCCATGCATTCCGTCCGGGGTCTAGTCATCTGTTTGTTTCGTTTTCCGTCAAATTTTTTGCAAAATGAGCTACTTTAAGTTGCAACATCTCATAAACTATCAAGCATGGCTTTCTGAAATTTTTGAAAGTACTTCTTAACGTGGTCTGCTTCGACATATTGGTTTCTTACGAAAATCTATCAAAAATTAAACATGTTGTATAAGAAGACGTATCTTTGGCAGAAAACTTGCGACGACCTCTCCATAAGACTCCGCGTATAATGGAAAAACTACGAGATTTTTTTTCTCGAAAACTACGAAGCTCGTTCCTGTGAAACTGTTATGTGTTATGTGTCCTGATAAAATAAGGGTCTTACAATTTTTTAACAAAATTGTATAAAAAAAGTAAAATATCACAATAACGCCTCAAATTCACATTGTTACACTGAAAATGCGTTCAATGCTTAATGAAGTCGTATTGATAAGTAATATAAAAGCTATTTCTCTGTATGACATTATATGATTATAGTAGTCATACTAACAACTGATATAATAGCTATTCTCATGTATGACGTTATAATATAATAGTACCTGACAATAATTTAATAAAATCTAATTGAAAAAATGGTAGAACACTTTTTATCTAGTTTTGTTTCCAAATACCCAGTACACATACTTTACATTCCTGTACTATCGCAATAGCTTTATTTCAGAAAAATAAACTTTTCTTTACTAAAATCGAATCCGTTGACAAACCTAAATTTGTCGTAAAATGATTCGTGTATCAGCTTTGCTAAACGAAATAATCAGTGCTACCTGCTAAAGATACTTATGTAAGCTGATTTTACACAAATACCATCGGTCATATCCATTCTTTCAGACAGTGTATTATAATATGAGGGAATCCATAAAAAATGTTCCGTTTAATCCCCGATTTTTAAATAAAATTATCGTTTGAGACACACTGTTGAGATAAAGCTTGTTTTGCTCGAAATGTTATGTACTATAAAGGAAAAATCGTTAAGATGGGATTCAGTAGAGGTGACACCCTTTTTTCGTAATTTTCATGTTTAAATTATATGTATATAGATGGGAGTAAAATATTATAAGCCCAATTTCAAGGGTGTGCCTAAATAAAAAATTTCATTAATAAACCGGGGATAAAAAAGGGATATTTTTATGGAGTTCCAAATAATTATAACATACAATCTAACATAATTATTATATATCTTAAAAAACAGTTAACAAGTAGTTTTCCGCGTTTTTCTTTCTAAATTTTGCTTGTAACTTTATTTGGGGTATTGTATTGCAGTAATTGCTCAAAATAATTTATTCGTTCTTTGATTACCTATAGATTGATACCAGTGAGATTATCTTTGACCTACTTTTTCCGAAGTTATATTGCAAAAAATGAGAAAACCGTCATACAAAATTTAAATTTTGTAACACAGTTAACTTTTACAGTTAACAATAAATTTGCCTTAAAATTCAGAGTTTGATGCTTCTTGTGACGATCTGTAAAAACGTGCAAACGATCTTTTTCTATCATTAAAAATAATGCCAGAAAACGATTATCACTTTAAAAATTAATTTGGATGCCCTAAACTTTACACTATAGCAGAATTAAATATCTCAAATCAATTTTATTAACGATACTAAAAGCATTAGCATAAAAAAAAATTAAAGTTTCCGTATCTGGTGGCACATGTCACCAGAGCAGGCATCTGGCCCGAAGAACTCCTTGTACTTGACCTGGTTGGATGCGCACCGGAAGCAAACTATACCCTACCTACTGACAGTGCAGTTAACAAACAAAATAATATAAAATTATAAGAAAGCGTTAATCCAAATAAAGTCAGTGAGCCGAGAAAATTTGCTAGCATATTTACGATTCACATTATTTACATTCACTTTAATCAATTCCTTACTTCTTAATCATAAAATATAGGAGATGAAATTCTTAGAAACTTGACAAAACTTTTAACGTATAGTTCACCAAATTGAATAAATAAAGTAATTCTAAATATTCTGTACATTAAGAGAAGAGGATACTTAAAAAAAATACAACTTTTACAATAAGACAACTTTATTTTCTATACATTTATTCGTATACATGTACATTAAGCTATAATTGAGCGTAAATTATTTACACTTTTTAATTAATGGATAACTTAAAAAAAAAGAACACACATATTATTTATCGAAAAATTGTTTTGTCCCAAGATTTATACTGATTGGATATGTTATTCCATGTATGGAAACAGGGGCTGTAAAGTCACTTTGATTGGTTTAGAAATACCCGCATTTGGATTCCGATTATGCATAGACTTCCATAGCTTATTCCATAACTGAAAATCCTATAAAGAAAGTTTTGAACATTTTTCGCTGAAAAAAACAATGATCAAAGCGCATGCAGTTTAAAGCTTGAGTTACTTTTGCGAACAGTTTGACTAAACTAATAAACACTTGTGGTGTTTTTCCCGAATAAAACATCTTATAGTTAAACTTTTAAAACCAGGGTTATTTTGTTTGAAATTTCATGCACTATAAGGAAAAAATCATAAACATCAGTTGAAACTGCGTGAAAAGAAGAAGGAAATCGCATAGTGTCTTTCATGTAAGTTTTATCATGCAAATAGTTAGGTAACAGAGCTTAATACCTGCAAAAGTTGCGGATCATCAATTTTAAAAGGACGTGCTTTTTGTACTTTTNAAAAAAAAAAAAAAAAAAAAAAAAAAAAAAAAAAAAAAAAAAAAAAAGCCATACCTGTAGCTCGTTCCTGATGTCGACCTCGGAGCCGCGTAGCCACTGTAGACTACTGGCAGCCTCCTCATCCTTGCCGTTGAGCACAAGGTAGGAGGGCGTCTCGGGAATGAAGAGGGTGCCGAAGAAGAGCATCGACGGAGCGATGGATACCAGAAGGGCGCTCTCCCGCCAATTGAGACACGAGCCGGATATGTAGGCGAGCAACACCCCAACGTGGCCCAAAACTTTCAGCATCGCCGACAGACAGCCCCGTATACCCGGCAGCGATATCTCCGATATGTACACCTGTCATGTTATAGTTGATTTATTGTTTTGATCGTGCCGTTTTTTGAAGATTATACAGTGTATATCTGTTACCTGAGCGACCATCGTGATGATGGAGCAGCAGAGCCCGACGGAGAAACTGGTAAGGTAGATGAGCTTGACGCTGGGCGCGAGACCCGTGAGGATCCACGCCACGGCCAGGGGCAGGGAGGTCATTCTGAGAGCCAGCCGGCGACCCTTGCGCATCGTCCAGTCGCCTATGATGGCACCGGCCCAGGCGCCGAGCAACGACAGCGCCGCTACCCACGAGGCCTCCTGCTCCGTCACCGTAAACGCCATCCTTGTAAAACAAAGGGAGTTATAGTTACACCTGGGCATCCATATGCGTGGCGATAATGACTCATTTGGAAGATCGACTCACCAGGTGCTGAGCGACGGGTAGAGGTCGGGCGAGTTATTGTTCAGGAAGGAGTCGAGGGTTGGGGACGTGTAACCCTTCGCCAATCCCGAAGACAGTGTACCCATGGACAGAGCCAGGGTCGCCAGTACCTGCGACGACAACAAAATACTTTGCTCAAACAACAAAAGTCAATGGCTATACTTGTGGAAAGGGGGTTTTTTAAACTGAGTGTCCCAATTGATTGATCCCCTCGCTGGATTATCATTGGAGGATGTAACCGGACCGAGAGGGGGTGCAAAGTTTTTTAATCAGCGACGCGCACTTGGAATAATCACGAGGAATCGTCCTCGGGTCGAACGAAATGGGTATATAAATATATGTATCGATCAAGAGAGTCGAGGTAAGTCGGTCGCAGTGATACGTATACATATAGGCGGTGGAGGGCTTCGGATGTGGTTTTGCACGACTCGCGGCTCCCGATGATCGTCGATTGTCGGAAGCAAATCTCGCCTCGGTTTATCCCGCTCTGTTTCTCCGCTCTACTCTCGGTAGAGATCACCCAGTATACACGATGTACCGTTTACGGAGCAGTGGCTGCGTTGGCTAATGAGCCCGCACTGCTCGATCTTTTCGCTCGGTTATACACGTGAGTATCTTCGGTCCAATTAAAAGTATTCTCGCGCGAGCAAATTTGAAGTCAAGCAGAGAGTCTGGGAATACCAATTTCCACCACAAGCCAACTTGTAATGTCACACGGATACGTCGTCCTGCACACGGTACGAGCCATTGTGCGATTTACATGTAGGTGTACCTAATGCATATATATACGTATACTGCTCCGACAATGGGCAAGTCGGCCCGGAATGCGCGAGACTTATCGCGCGCGATAAAACAATGGCCCTCCTCTGTAATATATATACATACATTTAAGAGAATCTGCTACTCGCACGAGTCGTTCGTATTTATTATACCCATCTGTATATGTATATGCCTGCAATGTGTGTTTATATTCCTTTTTTACCCCCCCCCCCGGAATTCCAAATATATATATATATCTGGGTTATATCGATTTTTCACGTGTCCATTGTATTACGGATTCTGCAATCGTGGCTATCTCGTTATTAATCACATTATTTGTCTTGCTTCTGGAGCAAGTATACATTGTAGCAACCGTTGCCTAATTGTACGGTCGGCGTTTGTCAAAAGATATCGTACGTAACATTCGGACTCTTGGCTCGCGACAATTGAGCTTTTATTTCCCCCTCCAAGGTCGATTCGCGTAAATCATTAGAGTATAACATTGCGTAGCTGGGGGGGGGGTCGCTAAAAGCGCATCGAAAATTACAGTGATACAGTACCGCTGAGCAAAGAATCGCTTTTCGATTAGAGCACCGGCCGTGGGTAGGAGGCGGGGGGGGGGGGGAAGAAATCGCGGATAAATAGCGTTCTCGGAAGGAAGGCCGGCTGATTGATTGCGAAGAGGGGAAAAAAAAAAAAAAAGAGTTCCGAGAGCGCCTAATATCGAGCTCGGGTCATTAGCTCCGGCGGCCCCCCGAGCGCAATTCCCTCCTTTAAAGGTATTTTACGTGCACACGGGTGTAGCCAATAGCGCGTACGTGCAATCGCCGATGCTCTAACCATTTGCCCTCTCGTATACGCGCCTCTCCTCCCTCGCGCATTATTCAACCAAACCGTTCATTACGGCCGATGTCTTCATTTTGGGCGGTCCACCCACCCCCGTTTTATAGCTATTTCTATTGCCGAGACTCTTTCTTTTTTCCAAGATCAACAAACACGCGCTGCCCCGCCCGAAATTCCACCGTAGTATTATAAGGATACCCGCGCCGTCGATTTAACTTATTTGCCTCCGGCATACAATACAATACCAGGTAGGGCGAAACAACAAAACACAGCCATGTGTATAGCGCTGCATATATATAGTGTGGCAAAGTTTACTTTTTTACCCCCCTCGTTGTCGGTCCCGGGGACGAAAAATCCAGCGAGCCGATCAGACGAAAAGCTCGCACGGGGTCTCGACCGATCGGCTTCGCGATGCGTTCCGTATCGAAAGTTTCCAGTGGGTGTACAATACATTTGTGTGTATATATATATATATTTATAGAGCGGAAAACACGCGAATGCACTCACCTGGGACGAGTGTTGAGGTCGGCTGGGCGTCGACTCCATGTGCACAACTGTGGCTCGCGGGACTTTGAGGTCGTCCTCGGCCTTGCTTGGTACCGTTGTCACCTGCAACACACAACAAATCGATCGTCTTTTACTTACTTCCATCTGTATATTTTCACCAGCTTCAATTTTTTCTTTCGACATACACATGTAGAGTCTCTCCGAGCAGAGTTACTTTGTCACGTAGTGGAAAAATTAGATGCTTTTAGAGAGGCTAGCGAGGGTTTTTTTTTTTTTTTATCTTGCGCAGGAAAAGCGTCGTAAAAAAAAAAAAAAAAAAGAAAGAAAGAAAACCTCGCCGGGAGGAGATAAACGTCGCATTAACGCGCAAAAAATTTCGTCCGCATTAATAAACGCGCGCTCCTAAGTAGCTTTCGGGCTCGAGGCATTAATCTTAGGAATATTAATAAAATCAAGCTGACGCTCTCTCGCCTCGGCTGTATATATTTTTACTGCCCGGCGTTTCATATACCCGATGTGTACCTACTTAATATAATATCATACACTGGGACTCGCAACGAATTCGGAGGTCCGTTATATATATACACGTCACGGAGGCAAGTACCTATCATTAATTACTTTCACGCGGGTCGTACATTCGTATGTGTTTACGTACATTATATTCTAGCCCGAAGGGGTATCGGAGCCGAGCGACCACCCGAAAAGCAGAGATTGAAAAAATACTCGTTTGACTTTTTCACGGCAACACGACTATTTCGGGTGTGAAAAAATTCCGGCGTCACAGTTAAATCGTCAGACTCGAAAATTAATCAGCACTACCTGCTGTAAAAATGTAGGGACATAAAAAAAAAAAAAAAACAAGCACGGCAATTTAGCATCACTCCTATATAGAGCTACACTATTTTTTTTCCTCTAATAGCCCGATACGTCTAATATATACCATACGGTTTTGAAGGAAAATCAATCATCGGCTTGGAGCGAGTCGAAAAACCCGTCGTCCTCGCGAGAGGAGAGCTTGGCTTTTTTTTTCCCAGATGCGTAAAATACGCGCGCTCGTATGCAGTGCTTTCTCTTGTCAATTGCTGGTGATGCCTGCAGGGAACAATAGCTGCGGGGGTACACAACACGGGCGGGTTAAAAGCGGTGCAGCTGGTGGTTTTACGCTCGCGCTTGCTTTTAACGAGCGCGGCGCATCATATTGTCCAAAGACTGTCATTAACTCGAAAGGGGGGGAGGGGTCTTTAATGGCGCGCGTCTGCGCAGCTTTTAGTTCTCTTTTTTTTTTTTTTT